AGACAGAACGTGTCTCCTTCCTGAGCGATATGACGGCTGCGTGGTCCCATGGGGTTTATACTTGCGTTCTATTGTTTGTACAGATGAACGTGGTACCTTCAGGCATTTGGAAATTGCTCCCAAGGATGAACCAGACTTGTGGAGGTCTACCATTTTTTTTCTGAGGTCTTGGCTGATTTCTTTTGATTTTCCCATGATGTCAAGCAAAGAGGCACTGAGTGTGAATGTAGGTCTTGAAATACATCCACAGGTACACCTCCAATTGACTCAAATGATGTCAATTAGCCTATCAGAAGCTTCTAAAGCCATGACATCATTTTCTGGATTTTTCCAATCTGTTTAAAGGCACTTTCAACTTAGTGTATGTACACTTCTGACCCACTGGAATTGTGATACAGTGAATTATAAGTGAAACAATCTGTCTGTAAACAATTGTTGGAAAAATTACTTGTGTCATGCACAAAGTAGATGTCCTAACCGACTTGCCAAAACTATAGTTCTTTAACAAGAAATTTGTCGAGTGGTTGAAATATGAATTTTAATGACTCCAACCTAAGTGTATGTAAACTTCCGACTTCAACTGTATGTCTGAATGTAGGCATACATTTAAGATATACAATATACCACACCCCCATTCTATGAATTAAACTTTGACCTACCAGCACCATCATCCACTGTCACAGGACATCACCACCCACTTACCCCAAGGCTGCTCATTTTACCCAATCCCTATGCTCAAATTACCTCATATCCTGTGTAAGTTGTGCCAAGAGACTCTGTTTTTTTTAACAAGCTATGTTTTCAAAACTGTTATGTTTACATGAATTCTGATTCTTTCCAGGGATTCACAACATCTTGAAAGATATGTAGATACATTTGTTAGAAAGAATACAATATTTCCCTTGATGTAGTGATGCTAAATGTAAAGAATGGCTCAACATACCCCACTCTCCCCTACCTGGCTGTCAGTAGGCTGTATGGTTGTCAATAGGACAGGAAAAGGCAAACATAGGGAGGGACCAATAAGGCTTGAGGAAGGCTTTAGGCAATAAAAAGTCATTTGTACTCTAATCTTGCCATTTTCTAGTGTATCTTATATATCTAGGCCTATGGTGATGTGCTGGTTTATTATCATTCATTAGGCAGTCTACAGAAGACAGCTCCACCAAGGTGGCTGCAATGTCAAATGGAGCAGCAGTACTTCTCCTTAGCACCAGGTGGCAGTAGAGGAGTATGAGATACAGCACCATGCATTGTGGCTCTCTGGGAGATGCTGTGGAGTGTGCTTCTCTCTCTCTTCTGTCTATCTGCCAGGGAACTAAAGCCTGGGGTCAGAACACACACACACACACATTATACTACTCCCTCCTTCTGCATACAGAGAGAGAGGGAGAGAGAAAGTGAGAGGTGAGATATTGAGAGAGTTCTAGAATCCAGGCATTCCATTTGGATGTGAGGCATATACATTATGTTCAAACAGAGGACACAGCAGGGTTCTCAAGACTGAAAGGAAGAGATGGTTACAGAACCTAAGAGCCAAACTAACCCTTTGGACTGGTACACTGCTCATGATCCTGGCTAGAAGCAATACTTAAACACAGCAGTTGAAAACTGTTGACTTAGTGGCTGCATTCCACTCTCTTCCCTGTGCAGCTTTTCCAACCAGCTGGGCAGACAGCTCCATGAAGAACTTGTTGATTTGTGAGTAACTGAAATGGTCTATGTAATTTGGGTGAATTGCGGTAAATGGAGCACATTCTACTATGTAATTTGGGGTTATTGAGCTGGGGAACTATTAGTGTGCCATTTTAGTCTAAATGTTGGTGTAGCTACATTGATGTGTTTCAAATCATATTTTGGTGAGGGTAGCAGTGAAATTGGCTTTTTATTGTCTTCTTATTGGGAACGGAATGAGGGATCAGGATTGAAATATGTTTGCACTCATCAGTACAAAAGATCACTCTAGCTACAGTATCACTGTGACATAGCAAAATGTGTAGTGCAGGATAGTATTGGATTTCGTGTGTGTGGTACAGTGTCATGGCATGCATGACGAAATACAGTGTTAATCTGTGACCCAGTGAGAGACTAACCTTCAGCCTCACACTGACCAGTTGACTGCTTTCTTTAGCGCTCTCTAGCTGACACACACACATACAAACGTATGCACGCACGCACACACGTATGTGTGACTAACTGGATTTGAACCTGCATGTGCATTACAAGACAGTGTTAACTCACTGAGCTAAACCCTGGTCTAGTTTCCCTTAGACCAGGAAAGACACATGCATGCACGCATGCACACACACATTGAAATCAGTAAACATGTAACATGTAAACACCTCCACAGGAAACAGCAGAAGATTACCAGTCTTCTTTTAATTAAGACTTTATACCATGAGCTCCGGTGCCCTGGTTTCCTTTTGACATCATGGAGACAATCAACACCAGCCTCCCTGCTTCTTCTGACGAGTCAGAGTCAATCCTGTTTCCTCTAATGAAAAGCTTATTAGCACCATGGGTCATTGTCACTGTCTGCCGTATGTGAAAATACAATTTGGAAGGTGGAGAATGTTTACTGTTCATCCAATGACCAAATACTCTAACCTTACAATGTGAGACATAAACTATAATACAAAATGAAACTATCATACAAAAAACGATTTGTAATCATACATGTACACAGCATGCTGTGCAACCTGACATTTTATTTTGGGAGCACCAGTGCGACTATAAAAAAATCACCCAGATAATAATTGTTGTAATGATTAGCCTACGCTGTACCGTTCACCCAGATAATAATTGTTGTAATGATTAGGCTTCGCTGTACCGTTGTTCTCGAGTGCCCTAGAGAAAATGGTCTCTGACTAGACATGTACAACACCCACATAGAGACAATATGGCATTAGGGTTAAAGCAACACAAAACAAGTGAAATTAAGTTAGCGTAAAAGAGGGGCCAAAGAGGAGGGGGAGGAAGAGCAGGACATCTGCACAGCTGCTGGTGCTCCACCAGACTGGAGAAGAAAACTCACCATCTGGGCCTGGGATACGGAGAGACAGACGGACAGGGGAGGAAATGTAACACTTGGACCTGGGGTTAGGGATTGAGGGAGGGAAGGAGCGGAATATTTTAGGATTTGGATCTGAGCCAGAGTTAGGTGAAGGAGGGTGTAGGGGTTGGAGGGGAGGGTGGAGAGAGAAAGGGGGAGCAACGGAGGGGAATAGGGGGACAGTATGGCACTTTAGGTTGGGTATGAGGGGAGGGAAGGACGTAGCTGCATCACACTTTGTTCTGAGCCAAGGTTCGGTGAGTGTGAGTGAGTGAGGAATGGAGGGAAGACTGGGAGAGAGGGAAGGAGGGAGGGACAGAGGGAGGGTTAGCGAGAGAGAGAGAGAGGGGAGGGAGGGAAGGAGACCATTTGGCACTTAGCTCCCCTCATTGTCATCAGTGCCACCCTGGGGGCTCCAACTCTGGGTCCTGCCCACACCTGCACCCCCTTCTTCTCCTCCCTCCCACCCTTATGGCACTCCCTCTCTTCTCTCTTTTCTACCGCGAACACATTCACTCTATCAACATAGACCCCTCCTTACGTCACAAAAATGACTAAAAACCTGTTTTTGCTCTGTCATTATGGGGTATTGTGTGTAGATTGCTGAGGAATGTATATTATTTAATCAATTTTAGAATAAGGCTGTAATGTAACAAAATGTGGAAAAAGTCAAGGGGACTGAATACTTTCCGAAGGCACTGTATATGTATATACAGTATGTATATGATGCTTCATTAGATTAGTATTTAATAATAGATCAGTATGTGTAGTAGCCTAATTGGAACAATAATTTTCAGTAGCAGTATCCCCCATTGAAATAATGCATGTTCATGTATTCCACAATACATTATAAAGTCTGTTCCCTTCTGCTTTACACCTTACAATTTTGATATCTCGGCCCCTCTACTGCACGCTATGTTGATATTCTGAATAGATAGATACTTTATTAATCCACAGCATCCAAAGCTATTTATCAAAGATTAGTTATGTCAACATAGCCGACAAGAGTGAAACAGAAAACACTAGCGGCATGTTTCCTTGAAATAGAAAAACATCTACTTGTTCCACTTGTTTAGGAGGCTGCAGTGGCAGTAGCAGCATTGGAGGAGGAACCACAGCAGTTTCTTTCTGCTCTCTGGTTGACTGGTTCTTATTATTAACATAGCATAGCTGCTTCTCTCTCTCTGTAATAGAAAAACTAGGAGAACCAGGGCACTCTTCATAGTACTCTTAAAAGTGCCTTTATTGCTATGGCATGTTCAGTGGAACAACTTTTAAAACTCTGACTCGTTTCGGCATGGCTTTCGTCAGGGAGTGAGGTTGTTAGTTTGTGTCAGTGGTTAAGTTCCTATTGGCCCCACAGGAAACCCACAGAACCAAGAGCTGCTTTGGCCATTTCCACTCTGACTCGCCACAGCTCTCAGAAACACCTGACTACCGCACCATGTGACAGGAAGCGGTTTTATGTCTGTTTACATCCCACCTGAAACCGTGTTACCACATAAAGCACAACCACAGTGACACATGGTAGGCAAAGGAATGAGTTGTAATACTGCTTTTAACATAATGTATGTGTGATGTGATAATGTAACTTGTGAGGGAGGACAATAAAGTTCTATTATATATTGGTGTTTATGTGGTTATTATCGTGTCATAATAAGGTAGTTGATTGATGTAATTACATGGAAGTTATATATTGAGCAGATTAATGCTGTTAGGTTACTTTTTGATTTCAACATCTACTCTTCTAATGTCAAATGAAATGACACAGTCCATTGGGCTATAATAGTTATTAAATATTTCCCTGGTTATTTCCTAGAAATTAACCCCTAAGAGCAAGCAGCTGTTGTGGAAATGGTCAATTAGCACTTCATGTATTTTTGTTTTGATATGTGATATTTGGTGTTTAAAGAAATGTGTATCGGAAGGAAGGATTCACTCAGGTAAATGTATTAAATGCAACATAATTTACCAGATCTTGAAGTCTTTAAGATAAGGCATGAATAATTTACATTGATGTACAGTTCTAACAGGCCAATAAAACACATGAACAGCATATCTGAAAACGATACTTTTATAGATTATAGAGCCAAAAGCTGCATGATGATTTTCATAGTTGAGGTGGCTGACTGTAACATAACATTATGAAGTCCCATCTATGACGGGTCAAAAAAACAAAACAAAAAAACGAATCAGAAGAAATTAAGAACTCACAAAATAAGATTCCGGTTTATTGTTGTTCAAGAAATTCACACATACATTAAACAGGCCACAACAGACAGCCATTTAACAGACAGAAAAGACACCTCTTTTCTTTGGCCTTGCCATCTCATACAAACCAACTTTGTATGGTACAACTAAAGTACATTTACAAAGTTACTGGAATGCTTTGAATTTAATTGTTTTCTGAAATTTGTACAAGTTTGTGTTGAGATAGCATGACATGGTCAAACCACAAGTAAAGTCTATTTCATAGAGAAGCATCAACTTCAAAGCACCGTTTGGTAACCAGAGATCACTGTCGAAAAATGGCTAACCTCCTAACAATATGTACAAAAATATAAAATGTAAATAAAAATACAAACAAATTCTCATTTTAAAGTACTGTATCTTGTTAAGAAGGTAGAACTTTGACGTCTTGGGTTTTCTAAAAAAATTTGCAGTTGGGTGTGTGTGTACACGGACGTTGAACTCTACTTGATGATGACCACAGTTTCCCTCCAAAACGCTCAGCGGTCGAGGAGAGAGGTTGCAGCAGCTTCCAGCGGGTTGAACACAAAACTCTTAATCATCGTCGGTTTTCTGCTTCTTCGTTCCAACATCATCCTGCAAAGAAAAAGTCAATATGTGATCAGTTATTTTAGTTTCTATGTGTAAATGCAATAGATAGATTCAAGTTCTTACATTACCTCGTCATCATCATCCTCATCATCCTCTGCCGCCCTCTTGCCTGCACGACCCTCGACCTCATCGTCATCATCATCTTCTTCATCACCTTCAGAGAGGAAGACAGGTTTAGTTTCTAGTAGTTACAGTTTATAACACATAGAGGGCGCTCCAACAAAACAATTTCTCAGGCAGACTGCCTCAGACTAGTACAAGCAAATAGACATCACTGCCACAAGGTGAATATGTCAACATGTAATGGATACTCTGCCATCATACATTTACATTTAAGTAATTTAGCAGACGCTCTTATCCAGAGCATCATAGCGTTGTGAAAGACCAGACCACTTACCCTCAGCATCATCTTCCTCATCCTCCTCCTCTCCCACATCATCATCATCCTCCTCTACATCATTGTCCTCATTGCCATTCTCCTCAGCTTCCTGTGGAAAAACAACACAATGCATCAGATATGTTTGTCTCCAGGGAAAAATACATGCTGGATGAAACACTGTATTATTTCGGAGTGGTGATATCTTGTTAGTAATAAAAACAAAAGAAAACATGAGTTGCCTCATAGATTTACTTCTACAAATACCTTTTTATAAGGATAATGAAGAAGACAGGTGAGGACAGGTGTAAAGAAACTGATGGGGCCATGTTAAAGGTAAAATGGAGAAAAGGGCCAATTAAAGGTAAAGTCCTAAAGTCTTACAGCTTTTCCGTTGGCTGGGGTGTCTTTTCCATTTTCTGCCTCTTCAACAAGCTTCTTCTCTTTCAGGTCCTGGGGGAAATTGAAAATGAGAGACTGTTTGAGTCATAAGGTGTGTGGCACATGGTGGATAAAATATATATCACAGGTTCAATCAAGGTTGTCACACACACATCCTCTCTCCCTCCAACCTCACCTAAAGTTGTAAAGCATGCTTTCGTTTTTCATTTGAAATGCGATACTTTGATCCTAAACCTTCTATTGGTTGCTTTTCTGCTCTACTCCCCGCCTACTTTTGGAGATCTAATAGAAGTGTTGCAACCTGACACCATGAGCGAGTTGAGTGCAACGAGCATTGTAGTTCAGTCAAGGACCCATGTAATGGGACGCTATGAAGACACGCCCGGAAAAAGACTACAAATCCCCTTGAACCCTGTTTTAACACAGCCAATAAGAGCGTCCAAACGAACGCTACCAGAAGGAGGCTGACTAAATTAACTCCAGGGAAGCGAGACAATAGCGTCTAGCAGGGATATGCGTTTGATTGACTTTCCATTCTACAAATGAAGACAATAAGGTTTGTAACCAATCAAAAACCATTCTGATTGGGTGTTGGTGTTCCATTAAAGGTCTTTATGATAATATCAGGCTATGTTAACGACTTTTCACTTGAAGGACAAAGGCACTTTTTCCAATAGCCCTTTTTAGTGCCCCCCCCCCAAAAAAATTGATTGTCTTACTCTCATTAGTTTTAACCTCTTCCTATAAGGAAATCTATTCATGAATTAGTTTGAGTAAAGCTGAGCCCATACGCCGGTAAGCAGCTACATCCCCCTGTACCCTCCTTCAACAACACCTTTACATGCCAATATTGTATTGTAGCCTATATATAGGCAACTACGCACAGCGGCGCCGCTGCTCCAATAGCGAGGGAAACTAAGCATAAATGTCATCCTATAGACTAAAAGAGACATCAACATACCAAATTTGTTTTATCATCACCGGGGTCGTTTGAACAACATATGATGAGTGGACCCTTGTGGCTCAGTTGGTATACCATGGCGCTTGCAATGCCAGGGTTTTGGGTTCGATTCCCACGGGGGACCAGTACAGGAAGAAAGTACGAACCTCACTACTGTTAGTGGTTCTGGATAAGAGTGTCTGTTAAATGACAAAAAATGGCCTATGTAATAAGTAACCGCAAAAACGCGGTTCAGCAGGTCGAAACTATGCCTTCAAGAGGCAATGCTGGTTTGTCGTGAATGTCCGTCCACCCCCCCCCCCCCCCCCCCCCCCCCCCCCCCCCCCCCCCCGAATAGGGTTACGCTGTAAAGGAGCTGGTGTGTGAGAGAAGGAGAGAATGAACACAGTTCAACTTTTCGCTCGCACTCACGTCCTACACTGGTTATTCATATCGTTATTGCGCGCCGCCAAAGCCCACATATACACTCATCGAGTTCGATTTATCATAAGACTACCGCTGTCTAAATCTAAATATATTTTCTCGCCAAAAATGACCAAAGTAAATCACTGTCTGGATGACACACTTCGTGCGCTTTTTTTATAGAAAGAATGTCAATCCAAATTTGGTTTACAAGCCAACTGATGCTCTTAAACGGGAGACTCCGGAGCTCCGATCGAGGCTCCGTCACATTGCGCGCAGACAAGCCTGGTGGAATGAACACACCGCGGGGCTTATCCATGTCAATACAGCCGTGAATCACTCAACATAAACACAGAGCTCGAAGACAGGAGCAGCTATCGTCACTCCGTTTACAGTAAATATAATTACTCCTGTAGCCTATTCATCTCGTACTTAGGTCGGGTATAATTGTTTTATGTTGGTTACGTTATTAAACATTTACGCGCTGTTTAAATCCCTTTCACCTCATTCTGTATTATAAAAGGCGCGAGGCTTTTATGCCCGAGCCATTCCCCATAAACTTCTATATCAATATCATATACTCCATGAAACCACCTCCAAAAACAATGGGATATATTCAAGTAGCAAGTTATGACAGACCGGTGCGTGGTACAAAATTGGAGAATGGATCAGTAGCCACTATAGCAGCCGCGATTGCGTCCGGCAACTGCAATGTAGCCTATGATATTAGATGCACACAAAGCTAATTAATCGAAACGGTAAACCAGGCGTGCGTGTGTGAGTGAGTTCTTCAAAAGAGCTTAAAATCGGTGTTCAAGTGAACGGATACGTTAGCATAAACAAAGAACCGCGCGCAGACTGTTATACTCCGGGCAATAAAAGCATCGCTTGGCGTGATTGTTTCAATAGACTAGTGAGGTGAGTGCAACTTTGGATACAAATTGTTTGGCTACATTTTAGTCATTTAGCAGACGCTCTCATCCAGAGCGACTTACAGTTAGTGCACACATTATTTTATTTTTCATACTGGCCCCCCGTGGGAATCGAACCCACAACCCTAGCGTTGCAAACGCCATGCTCTACCAACTGAGCTACATCCCTGCCGGCCATTCCCTTCCCTACACTGGACGACGCTGGGCCAATTGTGCGCCGCCCCATGGGTCTCCCGGTCGCGGCCGGCTACGACAGAGCCTCCAATAAATAGAGATCTCCAATAAAAGTGTTTCCATTCCAACATCCGCAACAGAAGACACATCCAAAGCCAGCTAGGTTTAATGAAGCTCGGATAAACACTTGTTCCAGCTTCCGATAGTTGTTCTCCATTCAAAATCTTAAGTCCGGAATATATTTGAATGAAAGAAAGTGTAGAAATTGTCATTTATTCATCACTCAGGTCACAAGTTGCCGTCCACTTACCTTGGCAGAGATCTCCTTACTAGTTTCGACTTTTGTGTCAGCCATGTTTCTGTCTTAGCCTAATGTAACAAATGTTGGGCTCGTAAAAAAAGGATGATAAATAATGATACAATCCACTCAGTCCGACCACTGTAAAACAAAAAAAGACAGCCAATAGTGCCAGTGGCATGGCTCGACCGGGGAACCTTTAATATACAGTTGTGGGCGGAGTCGGGGGACGGCCAGTGCGTTATGATTGGTCCATAATTAGGACAATTTCTAGCCCCGATTGGTCCGAGGGGAACAATGGACAGTATTTTCTGAGAGGCGCTCACGCCCCCTTACCAGCCTCTCCGAATCATTGCTGTGACAAGTGGCTGTCCGTAACCCGCGCTGGGATTGATGACCCCCATAGCATAGGCTACTCTCTGTCAACACAAGATTAAATGTGTCAAAGTGGACGATTCTCGCGTCAGGACGTAATATATGCCAATATTAAATTACAACTCCCACATAGGATATGTCCAATAGTGGACAGATGGATTCAGTTCTAGACTATTGCATTGGGCAACATGTAACACACATATCCGCAGTTGTTACACGTAATAACACACTTATAACGTTATTACAAATAGTCTAACCTAATCAATCATTACTTAAAAAGGTTATTTAATGTTTATTACATGAGATGTTGCTGGTTGACCCTGCGTGCACTTTCATTTGACTGATAGACGGTCTAGTTTGCTAAAATACACATCTTTATATTCTGTATATTAATTAATGTAGCCTAACTAATGTAATGAAGAAATGTAACAACTTCAAATGGATGAACTGGCTGCAATGATTTAAAAGATCTTCAATGGCTTATTGTGGCATTCAAAGAAGGAAGCCTATCTCTAGTTTACTCACGACAGACTGACGAATAGCCCCCCTCTCATCCTCCCCCTTCCTCCCACTCTACTTAAACCTTCCTCTCCACCGCACTCCTCACCCCCCCCCCCCCCACCTCTCCGCACCCACCCTTCCCCTTCTTTATCTACGCCCCTCCCTCTGTTTTTCTCTCTCTCTCTCTCTCTCTCTCTCTTCTCTCTCTCTATCTCTCTCTCTCTCTCTCTCTCTCTCTCTCTCTCTCGCTTTCTCTCTCTCTCTCTCTCTCTCTCTCTCTCTCTCTCTCTCTCTCGCTCTCTCTCTCTCTCTCTCTCTCTCTCTCTCTCTCTCTCGCTTCTCTCTCTCTCTCTCTCTCTCTCTCTCTCTCTCTCTCTCTCTCTCTCGCTTTCTCTCTCGCGCGCGCGCTCTCTGGAAACCGAAATGCGCGTGCGCCCTTTTCCGCGGTTAGAAGCTTCCCTTTCCCGGCTCAGACATTATTGTGTGTTTGTGTGAGTGAAGGTCGACGCCACCGAGATTTACTTCTGAAACATGTTTAGAGCATATTTGTTGGAGGATTCATTGTTTAGAAATAGCAATCAGTCAGGAAATGCATTAATAGGCTACTTTATGCACACACTTTACGCACACTGCGCTGAAAGAAAAATTGAAGTCATAATAAGTTGAACCTATAGCCTACACCAAGGAGTCAAGGCAAAAAACTCACACATTGTCAGAAAATAAATGTAACAGTGTTGCATAGTGATTCCTTTTATGCATGAGTGCACCATTGAGGTAAAAGGAGATACTTACCTCACCAAGATGGCTTTTTCCAAGTGCCATATGTCGTCGTGATTGTAAAAGAACTAACCTCATTGGTAGATGAACTGGAACAAACATAATCCTGACGCTTTGCGCCCATGGATTGGATATTCCGACTGTCAATCAAATGTAGTACTCCACTAGGGGTGTTTGCAAAACCTGGAGAGTGTGGTTTTTAAACCCTCAGTACTGGATAGCACGAAGTCACTATATGCTGACATACACTACCAGTCATAAGTTTGGACACACCTACTCATTCAACGGGTTTTCTTTATTTTTACTATTTTTTACAATGTAGAATACTAGTGAATACATAAAAACTATGAAATAACACATATGGAATCATGTAGTAACCAAAAAAGTGTTAAACAAATTCTTCAAATTCTTCAAATAGCCACCCTTTGCCTTGATGACAGCTCTGCACACTCTTGGCATTCTCTCAACCAGCTTCATGAGGTAGTCACCTGGAATGCATTTCAATCAACAGGTGTTCCTTCTTAAAAGTTAATTTGTGGAATTTCTTTCCTTCTTAATGCATTTGAGCCAATCAGTTGTGTTGTGACAAGATAGTATACATAAGATAGCCCAATTTGGTAAAAGACCAAGTCCATATTATGGTAAGAACAGCTCAAATAAGCAAAGAGAAATGACAGTCCATCATTATTTTAAGACATGAAGGTCAGTCAATACAGAACATTTCAAGAACTTTGAAAGTTTATTCGAATGCAGTCGCAAAAACCATCAAGCACTACAATGAAACTGGCTCTCATGAGGACCACCACAGGAATGGAAGACCCAGAGTTACCTCTGCTGCAGAGGATAAGTTCATTAGAGTTACCAGCCTCAGAAATTGCAGCCATAATAAATCCTTCACAGAGTTCAAGTCACAGACACATCTCAACATCAACTGTTCATAGGGGACTGTGTGAATCAGGCCTTCATGGTCGAATTGCTGCAAAGAAACCACTACTAAAGGACACCAATAATAAGAAGAGACCTACTTGGGCCAAGAAACACGAGCAATGGACATTGTGAACGGAGTGACGCGGAGACGCGGTGTGTGTGAACGGATGATCTCCGCATGTGTAGTTCCCACCGTAAAGCATGGAGGAGGTGGTGTTATTGTGTGGCGGTCCTTTGCTGGTGACACTATCTGTGATTTACTTAGAATTCAAGCCACACTTAACCAGCATGGCTACCACAGCATCTGCAGCGATACGCCATTCCATCTGGTTTGGGTTTAGTGGGACTATCATTTGTTTTTCAACAGGACAATGACCCAACACACCTCCAGGCTGTGTAAGGGCTATTTGACCAAGAACGAGAGTGATGGAGTGCTGCATCAGATGACCTGACCTCCACAATCCCCCGACCTCAACCCAATTGAGATGGTTTGGGATGAGTCAGACGGCAGGGTGAAGGAAAAGCAGCCAACAAGTGCTCAACATATGTGGGAACTCCTTCAAGACTGTTGGAAAAGCATTCCAGGTGAAACTGGTTGAGAGAATGCCAAGAGTGTGCAAAGCTGTCATCAAGGCAAAGGGTGGCTATTTGAAGAATCTCAAATATAAAATATATTTTGAGTTGTTTAACACTTTTTTGGTTACTACATGATTCCAAATGTGTTATTTCATAGTTTTGTTGTCTTCACTATTATTCTACAATGTAAAAAAAGGCAAAAATGAAGAAAAACCCTTGAATGAGTAGGTGTGTCCAAACTTTGGACTGGTACTGTATGTTAATGAAGATTTTCAATAAATAATGTATTTTAAATGGCCTATTGAGACAGTTGGGCTATGCACCATATAGTATGAGCCCATTGACATAGGCAATGATGTCAGTAGTTCGTTGCAACAGTTGTACATAGGGTAATATTTATTAGGCATTTGCACAATAACAATATTTGCGGTTGTTATTTTCAGAAGTGAATAAAATAGGAAATAGAAGATGGAAAAAAGTGAAAGTTTTGTGTGTCAACAAACAATATTCAACATTTGCAAAGAAGTTTGACTGCATGTTTGTAATCTTACATGCTGAAAATGTACACTAATGTATGGTAAGTATTCAATAATCAAAGCAAGCATGTGTTACATTTGTAAGGAATTGTAGGACAGCTGTGTCAGGTTGCTTTGTGTTACGTTGTAGAAATCAAAACGTCTCTTCCTAAGGAGTCCCCTATGGACTCTACATGCTGTGACCTGCAGAGAGGATCCAGGCTGGGATGGGAACATATGAGTTGTCCTGTTACAGAGATGGGATCTTATCTCACACGGGCACATACATAGTACATACAGTACACACACACACACACACACACACACACACACACACACACACACACACACACACACACACACACACACACACACACACACACACACACACACACACACACACACACACACACACACACCTTTCTCTGTGAATGGATAAATTACTATCTGTGGTAGAACAACATAAAGAAAAGCTGTGTGATTGTCAATGGGCTGCCTGTCTGTCATATTTAACATCAAATTGTCCTGACAGAGTTACTGTATCATGTTTCTGTGCTATTGTTACCACAGCTACTCTCTCCTCTTCTCCCTCTAGTGGAACACTCAAGACACTGGAGGAGCTCCTCAAACAGATGGGAAAATAGCAGTGCGGCCCAACTTTTAAAGATTGACCGAAAAATGTGAGTTCTTCATTTGCCTCTATCTTATAGTTTTAATTTAAGTATCTACAAAGCATGTTGAAAGATTGTTTTGGGCAGACAGAATCTGCATAGGTTTTCTCACCTACACAGCATTGCTTTACAGTAATCAACATAATTGTAGCTGTTCGTGTTCTGCAGCAGTATTGGGTTTGATGTGTTCAATAATTTCAGGGGATTCTAGAAATGATACTGTTGCAAATTCTGTCTAGATCTGACTATTACACATTAATAACACGTTTTTGCAATGATGAGCAGTATGCAACTGCCTCCTGAAAAGAAAAACCAATTCAATAAATTTGATTTGGCCCCAAAGGGTAATTGTTGCTGAGTATGACTATACGGACAACAACAACAAACAACAACAGATTACATAATGAATACTCCACACAGCCAAAACCATATATTATAGATGAACAATACATAACAAACAACTGATAAGAAAGTTCACGTTCTCTCTGTCTCAAAGTGTTATCAGCAGCTGTGTATGTGTGCTATCTATCTGACAGACAGCATTTATCAGAATATTATTTCAGAGAAACAGGATTGTGGAATCACCTACAACAAACAACATATGCTTATTGTTTGTGTGATATTTTTTTTCATTTAGCAGACGCTCTTATCCAGAGCGACTTACAGTTAGTGAATGCATACATTTTCATACTGATCATTCATATAACAATTTATAAGAATAGTTCTATGTAGTTATGGCTAGTTAGTTAGCTAGCCATTTTATGTCCAGTATTACTGTATTGAATTATGTTAATGAGAATGGATGAGAATCAACTGGAAACCCATAGGATAACTGTTCAGGAATACACA